ACACACACAAATATATAGGTGTAAATATGAATTATCAGTATACACTTGATGTTTAAAGTCATGAAAGTGATCACAGAGAGAAAAGAGGGTCAAACTCTGACATATACGAAGATTTAGCCCGCCAGAAAGTTGAGGAAATCCCGGGACTGAGAAGTGAGAAGGAGGGATCAAGGAGGCAGGGAGATAACCAAGATGGTACAGGGTACCGAATCTAAGTGAACGGCGAATAAAAATTAAAGCCCTTCCTACATATTCATTCATTAATTCAAAACTATTTACTGAGTACCTACTATGAGACAGACACAGGAGAAGCAAGCACAGTGCCTGTACTTATGAGGGCTGCAGGCCAGGGGGAGAATACGGATTACTAAACAAACTTGCAAACACTATTCCTGATAAGGTACAGGGTGTCTGGGGATAGCACTGTGGGGGCAAGTAATCCAGTCCTGGAGGGTCAGGAAAGGCCTTCCTGAGGAAATGATGTTGAAGAAGAGACCAGAATGGTGAGGAAAATCAGGCATGGAGGGGAGGGGCGTTGAGGAGGGGCAGCTGGAAGGAAGGGTGGGAGAAAACAGCATCTGCAAGGTCCAGAAGTGGAGAGGCCTGTGGAAGGGACAGCAGTGCAGTACAGGACGTGTAGGAGAAGGGCGGGCCTGATTATTTACTGTCTCTGCAGACTTCTTGGGAGTTTGAACTTTATTCCAAAGGCAACCAGAAGCCAGAAAAGTGTTTTTACACAGGAGAATGTAACAATCAGCCTTCGATTTCAGGAGGAGCACGGTGACTATGGCAGGGGCAGAGCACTGGCAGGTGACAAGGCTCAAGGCTGGGAAGCCGGGAAAGCTGTTAGGAAGCCTGGCGGTGGGATGTGGAATGCGAACTCCACAGGACTTTGGATAGGAGGAATGAGGAGAAAGAAGGGTCAAGGGTGATAACCTGGTTTTTGACTGGGACAGATAAGGAGACAGCGGTGCTACTCACTCAAAGAAGCAAGAGGGGAAGGTTGCAGGTCGGAGTAGAATTTAAGTTTGAACTGCCTGTGGGGGATCAAAAAAAAAAAAAAAAAAACCCACCTGGTAAAATAGGCAAAAGGCTACACAGGTCTGGAGATCAACTATAAAACCTGGGATTGGGCTGTAAATTTGGAGCCCCAGCACACAGATGAAAGCCATGGGAGAGCGTCAAGTGAAACCCAGGAAGTGAGAAAGAGAAGAGCCCAGAGGAATGGCAAAAAGCCTGGCTCTAGGTAAAGCCAACAGGAAAGGGGCAGAGAGGAAGAAGAACCCCAGGGAGACAGAGAAGGAAAGAGAGAGAGCAGGAGAGCGCCTGAGAAGGAACAGGGGAGTCTGGGATAAAAGCAAAGGGCACAGTATTTCAGAAAGAGGAGCAAAAGTATGAATTCTCATAGTTCATACACTGAAAAATACCTTGCTGTGTTATTTACACTATTCCAAAATCAACCAACGATTATCTTTCATCAGCTATAATACAATTAATCCTAGGATAAATCTTGGTCTAGATGAAGAAGCAAGACATAAAATGAAATAATTAATAAATAATACTGATTGGCATCAGTAAATACGTTTGTTTTAACAACAGACAATGAAAGTGCTAAAAATTCGGTTAGTGGGCAATACTATGGTCTACAGGTAAAGAGTAAAATAAATATCAGAAATAGGAAAAATAGGGGCGCCTGGGTGGCTCAGTCGGTTAAGCATCTGCCTTCGGCTCGGGTCATGATCCCAGGGTTCTGGGATCAAACCTGTGTAGGGCTCCTTGCTCAGCAGGGAGTCTGTTTCTCCTGCCCCCTCTGCTGCTCCCCCTGCTCCTGCGCTGCTCTCTCTGTCAAATACATTTTAAAAATCTTAAACAAACAAAGAAATAGGAAAAATAATGTGGTCTAAAAAGCTGAGGACTAAGTTTTTACCTCTGGTTTAAAAAAAAAAAAAAAAGAGGCAAGTTGATCCTGGAAGGATGAGCTCTATAGGATATGAAAGGGGTGATCACATCAACAAGGATTCGGGGTCTAAATTAAGCGATTCTGTGAGATGTCGGAACACTTCACAGACCAGACTGCACACAGGCACACACCAAAACACACTCACTGGCTCAGAGTGAATGAAAGATTATTTGCAGACATGCAAAGTCTATAACTCTGCATGAAATAGAATTGTGCCATCCTTACTGCATAATCCCAAGATATATTCTACTGAGCTGTCACAATTCATTATTTGAAGAGGACTGTTTGTTAGTTGTTTGGTTTTTAACCTTCCAATATATCCTTGGGGAGGGATGCTTATATTTATTCATATTTATTCACGTACCAACACAATTAGATTCTAATACATAAGACGAACAAGAAGTTTCTGAATGTTCTTCAACAGAGCAGTAGCCCTTATTTAGAAAAGGTGGAATTAACTAACTAGGTAAGTCATGAATCAGAGATTCCTATTAATTTACTATACCAATTTCTTCTGTCATGCACAGTTAAGTCTTTTGGCTGATTAGCAACATTAATATTAAGACATACATGCTCGGGGCACCTGGGTAGCTCAGTGGGTTAAAGCCTCTGCCTTCGGTTCAAGTCATGATCTCAGGGTCCTGGGATCTAGCCCCGCATCGGGCTCTCTGCTCAGCGGGGAGCCTGCTTCCCGCCCCCCCCCCCGCCCGCTTGCCTCTCTGCCCACTTGTGATGTGTCTGTCAAATAAATAAAATCTTTAAAAAAAAAAAAGACATACATGCTCATATCTTTGTTACAAAAAACACATGTAAATTTACTATTCAAACACATATTTAGGATCACAGCTATTGGTTTCTAAAAGTTTTTAAAGAATGACAGTATACGTCTCTAGAATGTAATACTTTAAACACAGAAATCAAGTGCCGTGTTCGAAGACTTAAATATGTATCGACCCAAAGTATTCCAATAATGACTCTACGTTTATTACTAAAAAATATTCACAAGATTTAAAGTGCATCAGAAGTATCAATGAGAGTTAAATACACAACAATGAAACAGGCAACTCCTTAAGCTGAGATTTTAAAATGCTGTCTGAAAGCATTTAAGCTCCTTTATTCCTATTCCCACAAGCAAAAAGTACCTACCTATTCTTTAAAAAGTCAAACAATATGATAGGTTAATATCAAGCTCAAGTTCTGTGTATAATCTTTAAATGAGCAAAATACAGGCAATATAATGTTTTCTTGGTTCCCAAACTACAAATAACACATCTATACCAGCAGTAACAGCCAAAGGAGAACAAATTTCACAGCCCTTAAAAAAAATACATAACTGTCAGTGTTAAATAAGCCAAGTATGCAACTGGAAACACTGCTTTCTAGCCAAGGACAAGATGTATCTATTATAAATTCTTGGTTAGGGGTGACCCCTTAAATGACCCCCCCCAAAAAATCAAATAACATTAGTTTTTGCAAATATAATGCAAACAGCATGCTAATTAAAGTATTCACAAGACAATGACAAATGAGGCTTTGGGACCACAGCACATATTATTATTATGTAACTACAATACACATTAAGCAATCACCAAGTTGCAGGTAGGCCTTCCAAAAGGAGTTATTATGGTTTACCATGATCAGAGGATTGTGGTGTTATACTTAATCACGTTTTTACCTGCAAGCAGGTGTTTACAGGTGTCAAAAAGTAAAACACTGATCCTAACTGTAAACGTCTAGTGCTAAGGAGTTGTACAGTAATGGCACATTGTACCCACCTCCCTGTATTTTCTGCATAAAACTTCCTAATCCAATACGAAGTGAGCTACATGAAGCAAGTTTCTCTGCATGCTTTAAAAACAAAATTTCACTTGACTCATTTTTATTAAAACGCCAAAACTCACACACTCAATAACTAGACCTTGTTTCGATGGGCATGAAGTGAAAATTTAACACTTAAAAGGTACAAAAACAATAGTGAGAGTAAAGCCTTTTTGGGGGGAAGTTACTATAATCTATTCAATCCGTCAATAAAAATATACACGGCTCAATACAGACTTTAAAGTTTAAAGGGTAACAATATTCAGTACATTTAGCAAGCAAATTACAGAAACCACCAATAATCAATTAAACACCATGTAGTCATTATAGAATGAAATATAAAATAAAGAAAAAATATAGAGAGAGAAAGAGAGAGAGATGAAAGAATATAAGAGGTAACAGGGCATATGGGTGTCATAAATCAATGGCTTTTCTGATTTCTGTCCTGCCTGCTGAAAAAATTTCAGGAAGCCTGGCATATCATCTTCAGAGCCTTCCCAAAGATGATGGTCCAAAGGCAAAGCAAGGCACCTGACACCCCAAGGGCAGCTCACAGAACTTCTAAGCAGTGAAAAGAAGGGCATAAATAAAAGAATAGGAATGTCAGGAGATTTTTCATGGACTTGGAATTACAACTCTACAGACTCTATAAATCTGTTTTTCAAGGCTGTGCTTCAACTGTCCACAGGAAAAGACCTGTTTTTCTACCCAGAGCAGAGATCCGCACCAACAGCAAGCCAGAATACCCACCAAAGCCAAAGTGAGACTGAGGTCCCGTTACAACAAGCATACTAGCTGCCCTCTCTCCACCTCGGAGAGCCAGTCTTGTCTACATACCCACAAAACGCACAAAGGCATCTCCTAACAGGCCCAACTGGGGAACCACTGGCGGATAGGAACTGAAGGAAAACAGAGACACTTGCAGGATTCCCAGTCACCTGAAGTGGGAGAATTCCCTACTCGGAGGTGATGGGGCAAGATGGGGCATTTCGAAGTGAAGAAACCCTTCTTGCAGAAGAAATCACTGGAAGTTCCTGGAAGCAAAAATGTGCAAGACTGTACGGCCCTAGGGTCAAGCTGGGACACTCCCACAAATCAGCCCAAAGGCCCCAAAGCCTCTCCTGAGGCCCATGGCAGCTGACCCCCGCTGTCCCCCCACTCTCTTCCCGGACACCTTGTAGACAGTGTAGACAGTGGCCCGAGATGCTGCCCCTGCACTTACCTCACAGGTGGGGGACCCGCAGGCCTTGAGCTTGTCACCATCTCCCTCCGGTAGACCAGTCCGACGTGTGGCCATCATTTCATTTCAAATTACATAGAAGGGACCAACCCTTTGGAGTCCACATTGGGGGGCGGAATGCCACCACACACCAAAAAGAGAAGAATTCCACACCAGTGTCCGAGGAGGTGCAGGGCTGGTGAAACAGGTAATGTGCCTGGGAATGGAACGTTTTTATGAAGCCCCTTCAAAACGCCCTGATGATTTCTTCGGACTTCAACTGACTTCACCGTCTTCGTCCATTTCTCGAGACTTCAAAAACAAAGAAGACGGGTCCTCTTGGCAGCTAACGAGGCCAACTGCAGAAAGCGTCCCCCTCCTCCTCCTAGCGCTACTCGGAGACCAAGAGGAATCTGAGTGGGTCGCGAAGGCTCGAGCGTCAGCTCCCCAAAGAGATCTCTCCTAGAACAGGGAATAGTTAAAGGGCATGAACTTTCTCCAGACGCTGACCTTAGCCTTGCCACAAGTCTACACCAAGTTCGCGGTTCCAACACGCGGTAAGATTATTCGATCCCTGCTGACGAACCTCCCGCAGGAAAAAGGAAATAATCCTCCCAGATAAAACATTAAGAAAAAAGGGAAAAACTATAAATCAGGGGGAGAGAATGAGAAACATCAGAACTGCATGGTGGTTGCGACAAACACGCCTGGTTGGTGTGCAGCCTTCAGGAAAAAAAAAAATTCCTCTTCAAGTGCATTTTAATTAATGTACTTTCTGGGCAAAAGAGACAGTGTCCAGGCTCTTGGGCATCACCCAGATCCGTACACTTAACGGAAGTTTTCTCCCCACGAGATTAAAATGGAATACTTTTCAAAAACCCTTCGCTCCCTACACCCCCCCCCCCAAATAAAAACAAAAAGCCAGCCCCGGAGGCGGGCAGCCCAGCTCGCCGGCGTTCGCTGGCGGGCCGGGTGAGTCTGGGCGCCCGCACCCCTGCCCCTGCGCCCCGAGGCTGCCCCCGCGGAGGCGGCTGTTTTGCTTGGCGGGCGGCAGGGCTGGGCGGGGAGGCGTGCGCGGCCGCGGGTGGGACCCGGGCGCAGCTCCCTCTCCGGGGCATTATTCTGGAGCGACAGAAATGAAGCCGCAGCCCAGGCAACTTTTATTTACTTGCTGCTCCCCAAACTACCAGTCGACACACTATCTTTCCCTTTCCCTGGGGCCACCTAGGAAAGAGAGAGAGGGGAAAAAAAAAAAAAAAAAAAAAGCAACAACAAAAAAAAAAACCCACCACCCACCTACCACTATTTCCTCCGCCCCTTCCAGAGGCGGGTCGGTGATCTCGATCTCCCGGGAAGGGCGGCCCAAATATGCACTTTTGAAAAAGGTGTCGGGAGACCCGGTGGGGGGAACAAAAAACGACGGGCTTACCCTTCCCAGCCCGCCGGGCCCAGCTTCCGAAGCGCGGCGGCGAGCAGGAGCGGGGACGCGGGCCGGGCGCGGGGCCCGGCCGGGACGCGCTAGGCCGCAGGCTCGGTTAATATTCATGAGCGGACGGGAGGCGCCCCTCCTCCACGGCCGGCCGGCCGGACCCCGGCGCCCGCCGCCGGCCTTTGTGCCCTTCCCTCCTTCCTCCGGCCCTCCCTCGCTCGGCACACGCGGGCGCGGCCCCTCCGCCCCCGCCGGGCACCAGCCGCAGGCTCCCTCCGACCCCGCGCCAGCGCCGGGCGGGGTGGCCTGAGGTGGCGGGAAGGGAGGGAGCCCGCGGCGAGCCGGGCTCTCCACCCGCCCGCGGGCGCTGCGCCCTCTCGGCTAAGGCGGAAAGTAAAACAGACACGCACCGGAAAAAGCGGGGCGAGTGGATCCGCTCGGGGCTGCCCGGCCCCAGGCAGCGCGCCCCGCACGCCCGGCGCGAGCCGCACGGAGCGGCAGGACGATCCGGCGCTGCCCGCCGCCGCGCTCCGAGGCCGCCGCCCCCGGCCGGCCGCTCCCAGGCACCGCCGCGACCTGCCCCGGCCGGCCCCGGGCTCTCGGCCGCCGCGGGAGGGCGTGGGGCGGGGCGGCGGCCGCCGGACTCTCCCCTCGCCTCGCCGGGCCGGGCCGGGGCCGCGCTCGGGCGCCCGCGATCGCCAAGTGACAGAAGTGCCTCGCTCCGCTGCCGCGCCGAGCTGTTTCCCGGGGGCGGATTTCTCGCTTCTTCCTCCCTGGATCCACCTCCTCCCACTCCACCTCCTTCCCCTCCCCTCCCCAGGGGAGGCTCTGAGGCTGAATATTTTCTGTCTTGAATAATACGGTCCCGGGAACCGACGCTGGAGAAGGGGGATTAGCTGGGGCAGGGGGTACTCGCCAACCCCCTCCCAAGGCGTCTCCGACCTACGAGCGCTCACTGCCCCCCCTAAAATCCGGCACACACAAAACCTCCCCTGCCTTCCCCAGTCTGCCGAGCGCAGAGCGGGAGCGGCCAGGAACCGGGGTTCCACCCGGGAGGAAGACTAGGTGCTTGGTGTCAGGGGCGGAGAGGGGGACAGCGCTATGGCTGGATTCGCGACTTTGAGGGGTCCCAGATCCCAGGCTGCGGGGAACATTATCTTGGCGAGTTTTCGCCCCCTTCTTTTGGCTGCGGGAGAGGAAAGAAGCTGCGAGGCGACGTGCGACTTCAAGATAATAAGGGAGTGTCCCTTCACGCCCTACAGCCAAATAGCTTCTCGTGTTGGAAGGGGGTCGCAGCGAGGCGTTCATTCAATTATTTTTCCTTTTTAAATCTGCAGACAGTTGGATGAAGTCGGCGCGACTAGCGGAACCGAGGGAAGGTGGTGGCGCCGCTCCACTCTACAGGTCACAGCGGCTCGGGGACCAGAGCACAGCCGCAGCCCCTCCCCACCCATTCCGAGGCCTGCCTCAGACCCCGGGCCGCTCGCTCCGCCCCGCCGCGCCTCACAACATCTCCCGCTGCAAATGGCCCAATCTGGAGGCGCGACGGGAGAATACGAGCCAATCAGGGGCTGCTGACTCACGCTTCCCTCCACCCTTTGCCCCTCCCCTAATAGGAAAAGCCGCCGCCCCTCTGTCTCCCCTCCCCAACCACCCCCACTTGTCTTCCCCCCCCCCCACCCGCGGGGAGGTGGCTCACCCGCTCGCATCCTCGCTGGGCTGCAGTGGGGTAGCCCGCTGCGGCGGCGGCGTTTGTCACCTTGTCACCCTCATCCTCACCCCCTCCCAGACACACCCCTACTCCCTTTCCCAGTCCTCCTGCTGGTGCTGTTGAGGGTCATTTGTATCCTCACTCCGGCGGGGGACTCCGAGCTATTGTGTCTGATCAGCTGCCACCACCGTCCTGAGGGAAAAAAAGGAACAAAACCAAGAAGCTACGGGGTCTGCTTACCTTTTCCTTCTTTCTTACGACACCATCCCCCGAAGATTTTAAGACACCTCCCCATCCCCTGCTCCCCACCCGCTGCCTGGGGTCCTGTTTCTCCATGAGGAAAAAAAAAAACCCACCAACCAACCAAACACTTAAAAACACACTCCCTGGAGCCTGAATACCTGTGCCTTAGTTTTCAATATTCCCCAGAGTGGAAGGTGCCAAGAATTTAGAACATACAACTAAATCCTCAGCTTCAATTAGAGGAAAGACTTAGCCTGGATCATCTTTATATGGCCATGAAATTTGCATGTTCGTGACAGCTCCTGACAAAACTAGTCAGCCAATAACAAAGAACAACAACAACAAAAAAGAATAAAATAGAGGGAATGCCTGCCAGTCACTTGGTAATTTACTGAATAGCCCACTGGGCTATAGCAGTATCCTGTTCTAGATACTGTTGAGTAAATTAAAAAGAAGTGAATAGAAATGCAGGGTTCAAGTAGCCTACCTCTAGTGGGCTTATAGAATGTGTCCAGAAAGAAAAAACAATTTCCAGCACAAAACAGCTCCTTACAAATGCAAATGGGCATGCATGGCTAAACGGAGGACTTCTAGGGTTAAGCTTTTTGCAATGGAAATTTTTATAAATGTTGATTTCGAAAAAGATTTTCAGTTTGCTAAAGGAGAGTAAATGGTGGCCATGGAAGGAGGCGTGAAAGGAGGTAAATACATTTTAGAAATTGTGGGAAAATGACATAACCCAGAAAGGCATTTCTATAAAGGATAAAAGGAAGCATCAAGACTGTAGGCTAGCTCCATCACCTACCTTGTGACTTAAGGTAAATTATTACCTACGTGTTTAAGTATTAGAGCTATCAAGTAATAGTACTGACTGCCATCTATATAGCACCGCCTCTGTGCTAGGTATTCCAAGAGCTTTACACACAACTTAGTGAGATAACTGTGTGACCCCCAGGATTAAGCCCGCAGTCAGCTCCGGAGTCCATGCTTTTCTCCGCAACACTGTACTACCTCTAACACGGTTTTTGAACAATAATAACAACATTAACTAACCTTTAGTTAGCTTGTTATGTGCTAATTATTGTGCTTTGTGGGTAACTAATTGAATCTTAGCTCTGGGTTAAGCATGATTATGATGTGCCATGTTGGGGAATGTTTTTAAGAGCCGTGAAGAGAAGTTAGTATTATATGTGTCTTACTTCTGTTAGGATGGGAATGATCATGATATTCTAAAATTTGGGAATATTTTTAAGAATCATTATGATAGATTGCTATCATATGTATCTAAGTGTATTAGGCTATCTGGACGGACTGGAACAGTACACAGAACTAAGACTGGGGACATCTGGGCCCTAGTCCTCTCTTGGGACCTCTGTGACAGAACCTTCTGGAGCTAACTGGACTGTTGAGAGCATCAAATGAGATAATACAGGTGAAGGGGTTTTCAAAATGTAAAAACCTAATTCTGATTACAAAAGTGTTTATCCTGTTCCCCCAACTAGGAACTCTTTATACTCTTTATTTTATTTTTATTTATTAGGAACATGTTTGACCCTGCTAAAAATGAGGTCAATTCCCTTCTGAAGGCGTGAGCTGTAATAATACTTTATTAACGGCTTGAGCTCTCATTTAGATGTGCCGCTATCTGGGCATCTACAAAGTGGCAGTCATCAGCGAGTCATTCGCCATTCCAAAGGCTGATGGTGTCATTAATGGAGAATGTAAACCCTCGGAGCTCCACTTTTAGCTGCCCATCTTCGGCATTTCACTCATTAACACCTCCACCAGAGGGAGGGCAAGAGAAAGGAAAAGGAGCCAAACTTAAATCATGTGGCTACTTGTTAACTGCTCCAGTGAGAGATTTAGTATAACAATGGGTTTGGGGACCACTGTAACTGAAAGGAGCTTTGGAATTAATTGTGGGCTTCACAGTTCATATCTTGATAGTTTTCTTTATCCTAAATATCATGGATAAGCAAGAGCTAACAGCAATTCTACCTTTGTTTTACTTTGAAAGGCTAATATTTTCCTCTTTTGAGCAAAGCTAATTAATAATCTAGCTTCTTGGGATGGCTGGGTGGCTCAGTCTGTTAAGTGTCTGCCTTCAGCTCAGGTCATGATCTCAGGATCCTGGGATGGAGTCCCATATCTGGCTCCCTGCTCAGCGGAGAGCCTACTTCTCCCTCTGCCCACCTCTCCCCCTACTATGCTCTCCCTCTCTCTGTCAAATAAATAAAATCTTAAAAAAAAAAAAATCTAGCTTCTTAGAGTTTCCATTGAGTCTCAGAAATTAATACAGCTATATTAATAGCATCTACAAGACAATCTACAAGACAATCTTGTACACCATAATTCTGACAATGTAGGCAAGACATTTTTAAAGATGAAGATTATATCCTTAAAACATAACTTTTGACTATGTTAATGACATAATAATATTGTTTTGGCGAACCACAATCAAGGAAAAATGTCAAAGCCAGAAATAGGACCAAGTGTCTTAACCCCTGATCTAATGTCATTCTCTTATAAACTATGGATGATTTCTACTCTGAATATAGAAGTTGGCAATTCTCGGAGGCACAAGTGTTTGCAGTGAATTCCACAGATGAAATGTGTAATTTGGGATGAAGCATTTGCAAAACTATGTGTCTGAGGCAGTTAAGACCAATGGCCCTCAGAAGCGTAAGCATTTTTTTTGGTTTTAGGACTATACTTAGACTTTACTTCTTTTTCATACAATAGTAAAAAGACACTGCTAATATTTCTTCTGCTTCTGCTTTCTGCTAAAAGTAAAAATATTACCTGCTAATATTTCTTGGAAAATTTTCTGCTAATAGTAAAAATATTACCTCCTAATATTTCTTGGAAAATAGTAAAAATATTACCTGCTAATATTTCTTGGAAAAAGACTTTCATGCTGAATTGAATAGTTCCAGAAAACCCATCTCTCTAGCAAGGCATTCACAACTACAATCAAGAGAATGGAGTAATGGTCCATAATAAATAAGTTTTCTAAGATTCTTCTTTCTTCATCATCTCTTTTATGATAATAATGTAAATCATTTATTAATTTAATGTTCTGCCTTGGCTAGATACATGACATTATTTCTGTCCCCAGGATGACTATCATCAGTTATTAATTTCTAAGCTAAAGAGGAGTGACACTACTTAATCCAGTGTATACAGGGCCTAGAAAACTACCATACACAACAGATATTTTTGAATAATTTCCCTGCCCTCAGCTTATGGTGGTCTTTTCCTCCTCTGGATTACTCTTCTGCTTGGGGTTTTTTGGATTTGTTTGTTTGTTTGTTTATTTGTTTGTTGCTATGAATTACTTACTTGATCATAAACAATCTTATGTTCTCATTTAACTGTAACTGAATATTGTCTCCCTTTCCATCTAGATTTTAAACTTCTGTGGGGAGAATTCGTAGGGCTTTTACTTCTTTTCAGTCCCCATAATACCTACTACAACTTTCACACACAGAAATCACTATAAAATGAGGGTGCCTGGGTGGCTCAGTGGGTGGCTC